GGGGACGTGAGGAACAGTATTAAGAACCGCTGCTTTAGAACATTCACAAACTTGTGAATCCATTAGAATCGTTAGAAGACAGAATCGCGATTCATATATGAATAGATTTTTACATGCACCCCTAGTTTTCTCCTCCTCTTCTCTAAAGCAGTGCAGCATGGCCCAGCAACATTACACACTAACTAACATTAAAAAAGTGAAATCGCAATCAACCACCCCTTTAAATGAAAAACAAAAAATAAAGCTAAAAACTGTTCAAAATATTAAAGAACAAAAGGTATAAGAGTATCATAATGATTCAAACATAACACTAAGCCAAACACCAAAAACAAAACAAAAACTACATATATGTGTATGTACAACCACACACACACACATACATATATATACTGTATATACATACACATTTATAAATTCAATATATATATTATTTCATTTCATTTCCATTTAGTTTGTTGAACTAATGATATACAAATTTAAAATTTACTTTCCTAAGTGTTGCGTGTTTCTTGAATTCATTAGTTATCTCTTCACATTAATTCATGAAACGCAGCTACCACACATATATACTGTATATACATACACATAAATAAATTCAATATATATATTATTTCATTTCCATGTAGTTTGTTGAAGTATTAAAATAACTCAAATTAAATAAAACTAAAACTTAATAAAAGACCTATACAGACATAATAAATTCAGACATAACTCAAATTCAAATAAATAAATACAAATAATACAAATCAAACGATTTATCAGTAATCCTAAAAAATAACTGCCAAACTTACATGCTAAAAAACAACAACTTACTTATAGTAAGAAATGGTTATAAAAACTGAAACAGAAGTGAAACAAGCAGTAGGAAAGAGGAGAAATAAAAAGCGATACTTATCCTTTGCCGGTGTCCCTGCCCGGTGGAGTCACACGGTAGAGTGGTGTTTTACACTCTTCGGTCTTCACACGAGGAGGCCGTCACGCGACCGCTGCCGCGGTAAACTAAGCTTTTTTTATACCCGTCTAACAAAATACTAAATTAATTCAGCTGGACACACTTTCCTTATTTTTTTTTTCCACAACAAATGGCGAAGCAAGCGCAGACACTAACAAGATACGCGATACAGAATGAGACCAAACGTGACCAAATATTACGAAGCTACGAGAATACTTTTTGTGCGCCAAAGAAAAAAAAACAACGACTTTATTCAACAATTCGTCTCCTATGTTTTCTACGTTGTTTGTGCTTTGACTTGAACGGAAACAACGTGCCTGTGTGGTGCGGCTGACACAGAACAACATACGCTTCAGTGGATATTCTCCAAAATGTGGATATTCAGTGGATATTCTCTAGGGTGACGCGGAGGAGACGAATTGTTGAATAAAGTCGTTTTTTTTTTTTCTTTTGCGCACAAAAAGTATTCTCGTAGCTTCGGAATATTACTGTTGAACCCCTAATGTCACATGGATTATTTTACCGATCTCCTTGCTACATTTCTGGACGTTGATCATGGTAGTACCCTTGCTGTCTATGGAGGGTCAGAGAGCTGTCAGAATGCATCAAAAATATCTTAATTTGTGTTCCGAAGATGAACGGAGGTCTTACGGGGTTTTTTTTTTTTACGGGGTTCTTATTTTTGGGTGAACTATCCCATTAAGTAGAAAAAAAAAATCAAGTAATTAAAATATATATATATAATTAATTTGAAAAAAGAAAATCTAGTACTTTCAAATTCAAGTACTCAAGTGAAATTTAAAATAAGTACTTGTAGTTTTACTGGAGTGATATATTAGTGTATCTGAACTTGTACTCGATTGCTTGATTTGATTTGAGCACTTCGTCCACCACTGAATACTTTTATGGTACGTTTTTGTCATTTTGACATGCAAATAGTGCTTTTTGCAGTTTGGCAGCCTACTGTCATTGTATAGAACACAGAAAATACCATTCTGCCAAACTTCTCCTTTCATATTCCACTTTAAAAAGAAAGTCATAAGGGTTTGGAACTGCATGACAATGAGTAAATCAACTATTCCTTTGACACATTCTTTGCATTCTGGGTAAAACAAAGTCTCTGGATGTCATCTGTGATTAAATCCAGAACGAGAAAGATCAACATTTCCACATGCAGGCTAGAAACAGCAGTGTGACCAGTCCTGCCCCTGGAGGAGACGATCGACTTCACGGCACTCTTTACATGCTTCACATGCCTCTCTCTCTCTCTCTCAAACACACACAGAGAACATGAGAAAGTGGGGCAGTGGCTGTCCTGGTTACACAGACCCACTCCCACCATCTGCTGCTGCATCATCACAGCGACACAGTCATTCACAGGAAGTGCCTTCATCCTGCGCTCAGGCATGATGTAGAGGAAGAACAGACAGGGTGGAATAAAGCCACATGGTAGCCTGCAGGCCGTACTGTCAAGCCGGGACTTGAACACTAGACGTAGTGATCGGTTTCCCATCTGAGTCTTCTTCTGCGGTCGCTGCTGTAGTATCGGCGCGACTCAATGCGTGCTCGGTCATGCGGAGGAAAGAGTTGCCATTTTACATCAAACCTGACGGGCCGCTTTTCGAACAAATGTTGCGCTACCGGTCAAGCAACTTTTTCTTAAGGAATTAGAACATAATCAAACATTTTGACTCAGTGCGTTTTAGTAGATCTCACACGTGGCTCAATCTTAGGCACTTCTAACTAGACTTGTGCCGGTATTCGGTAATGCGATATATCACGATAATGAATATGCACGATATTGTTATCGTGGGCACTTCTAAATAACGTGAATAATTATATATTACAAATTATTCCGAATTTTGAATGCATTTTAAAAAATACTTTTCCCATAAACTGGTCAAAATGCACAAAGTAGTCCGCGACCCTCGTAAGGTTCTGGTAACTCTCTACGAGAGCTCGTTTACTGGCTGGAATTTCTTCCTCTAGTAACATCTGCAGCTCTGCCATCTTACATGTCTCCACAGAGCTTCCTGCTCCTCGTCTCTGGGATTTGATTGAGAGCTCAAGCTCAGCCCCAGACCAGTGATGTCGAAATCGTTCATTTGAGTCGAATCTTTGTATTGAATCAATCGAACCGGTTCACAAAACTGGTCTGAACGATTCGTATATCAGACTGAATAGGGAGGAGCTGTTCTCGAGTTAACGACTCACTGAATCATTGAACCGAAACATGCGCGACTCGCATTGAGCCGGATTATCAACGGAGAACCCGTAGTACGAGTTTTTGGAGTGAATTTCTGTTAATTTGAAAGCTATGAAAACAGTATCTTTATATTCCTCCTTTTTGTCTTCTTAAGATGTAATTTTATTACCTTGTTTTTTTGTGGTTGTTACCCTGGCAACAAATCTGTGTGTGTATTCTGTTGTTTTTCTGTTTTTGTTGTTATCTTGTCTTTATGATTTTGATAATTGTACTGCCTTAATGTTTTAATGTTTGTATTGTTTAATAAAAATTTAAAAAAAATTTTTTAAAAAAGAGTTTTTGGAGTGAACCGAGTAGCAGGAATATGACACACTGGATATGTTGACGACTTGATTCTTTTTAGTGTTTCTTCAATCTTTTGTAAGTGACTTCTCTTTTTGTTTTAATGATACTTTCTTTGGATTGTTTGACGATTCAAAAGAGAACACCGGAAAATATTACATAATTAATTTATGTTTCCTGTTAGCTAAATTTCACATTCATAAGCAAAAGTTTACTGGCTCTAAACCTCTCTTCTCCTTATTTAAAGTGGACTTGGATAAGTATGTGGAAACTATCCAAAGTTCTGTTAATTTGAAAGCTATGAAAACAGTATCTTTATAGTCGTCCTTTTTGTCTTCTTAAGATGTAATTTTATTACCTTGTTTTTTTGTGGTTGTTACCCTGGCAACAAATCTGTGTGTATATTCTGTTGTTTTTTTCGTTTTTGTTTTTATCTTGTCTTTATTTATGATTTTGATAATTGTACTGCCTTAATGTTTGTATTGTTTAATAAAAATAAAAAATCAAAATGTTGACGACTTGATTATATGGCAGTTTTATCAACATGCATACGAAAAAGAGTTGTTTATAATAATAATAATAATAATAATAATAATAATAAAACAAAATAGGCTAATATTAAAATCGGCAAAACCATGAGATGTAAATTAAAATTAGTAGTTTAATTAATTCCACATTGCATTTACATTACTATGAGAGTTGAAAAGTTTTAAATGGTAACTATACGACCGTTTTACCTATAACATAATCGAGAAAATACCAGTAAACAAATATATGTGGCTTCATTTGAGTATTTAATAGGCAACGCCAGGATGACAGGGACTCACGGTGACGTAATTGCGTAAAAGAATCAGAGAATCGTTTCTTTTAAACGGTTCGTTGAAAAGAGCTGTTCGAACGAACCGATTCTATGAAATAGGTCAGACTTCCCATCGCCTCGCTTTCACCACAGCGTCACCCATCAGCACAGCTGATACTTTGTTGCTGAGCGAATGGAACGTTGGGAGTTGTAGTGTTACACTACATCCAGTAACGAGGGAGGGAACGCTTTGATGTGTTACAGAGTTGCCTCTTCGTCTATTGCGCAGGAAAGGATTAAGCGCACATGTTTCTTTAGAAATATGCGTCAAAATATTGCTGGCCGTTTTCAAAGTTCGTAGTCAGAGACGGTTTTTATGCCATAAACTCCCTTGGGTAAGCTTACCTCAGTGAACTACATTACCCAGGATGTTACGCGTATAGCTAAAGAATTATCGTATTTGTAGGATTTAAATGTCGTTGTTGCGAGACTTAATGGCAGTGTTGTTCTCTAAAGGAACTACAATTCCCTGTAAACACCTGAGGAAGGCTTTCGTATGTTGGCTGTCAGTATTCATGAGGTCGTAGTCTCCAGTAAAGCAGGTAAGAGCAGCAAATGGTAACGTATCAAATTGCTCGTGCTTGGTTTAACGTCGTTTCGATTATTTCTAATGCAATTTGATCTGGAAATATCACATTAAATTATATTCACTGCACTTTCAGTCATGTCTTGGTTGTCCTTCAGGATTTGTCGAGACGAATTGGATTGTTTTTGGCTTTGTTTACTTCTTTTGGAATAATAAACAGGCTTGTTAACTTGTAAAGTGCAGCTTAGGTTTACTGTAACAAATGCTAGGAACATGCATTACATCAACCGATTATTATTTAAATTAACTTTGCTGGCAGGTTTGATCCCGATCTTGCTGTAGCGGTGAGATTGTCATGATGGAGGGTGACAACCAACTAGTCTACGAGCAGAGGTTCAATGCTGCTGTCAAAGTGATCCAAAATTTACCATCAAACGGTGAGTAAATAAGTCACAGTCATTTAGGCAGTGTATTGTGTGTTATATTACATACATACATTTAGTCTTTTATCAGACGCTTTTATCCAAAGCGACTTACAAATGATGTTATATTGCTGCAGTGCACACGACCCCTCACCTACTTTCATTTGATCGCTACAGTTTCATAATAAAAAAATAACAAATTATCACCGGTTTCCACGGTCAACGCGATTAGCCTACGTTCAGCCAGGCTTAAGTGCTGAAATAACTCGTGTGCAGTGGTGGAAAGAGTACTAAGAAATTGTGCTTAAGTAAAAGTATTGCTACTTAAGGAATAATTTACTTGAGTACAAGTAAAAGTAATGAAAAATAACATGACTCAAGTAAGAGTAAAAAAGTAGTTTGCTGAAAAACTACTCAAGTTACTGCGTTACAAAGTACTTTAGTATAATTTTTCTATTTTTACCCAAAGTGAGATGTGAGCATTATGGAGCAGGGTTAACCCTAACCCTAACACTCATGTACTTTAATGTCTGTTTCACAAGTGAGACCCAGGAAATCCCTTATATGGACAAATGCATCAGATTTCACTACAGCTGAATAACATGCAGATAGAGATGTTTTGACTGATGAAATGTGGAAGACAATAAACACACAGTTGCAATGCAACGCTAATTGACATCCCTAATTTTGATTCCAATAAGGAATAAATAAAAAATCTTAGATATAATTCACATTTATTGTAACTCTTATCGCAAAGTATTCCCTTGTTAGCTGAATACTATGAATGAAAGTCAACAGGCTAAAGAACACTTACACAAGGATGTGTGTCCAGCAGAGAAAACAGCCTGTGAGTCTTCTTGACTTGAATGGTTTAAAATCCCATTGAAAGTGTAGTTTGTAATAATGTTTTGTAATGTAATGTTGTAAACAAAGGTGGACTCCAGGCACATTTTCAGTAGGACAAAAAAGAGCATTTTATTGAACATTTTAACCCATACCTAGGCTTGGGAATCCAAAATCTATTCCAATTCTGGAATAGGATGCTTAAGGTCAGGAATCGTCTAGTTGTTATAAAATAAAAAATTTGATTCCTCTTATCGATTCCTTTTGTGCGCATTTTAATACGACTTTAAACCATTCAAGCACAAGAAGACTCGTGCTCTGTTTTCTGTACTGCAAACATAGGGGCATAGCCAGTGGTGTAGTGGTGCCTGGAGAAGTGGGTATACTCTTCATTTATGTCCCCATTTTTTTAACTTCTTTTCATTGTTAAGGTATTGTTTTCGTTATAATGTACAGATTCAAATTAGGAGTCAATAATTAAATATGATTTTATCACTCTGCGCGCCTCCCTGACATGCGCTCAAGCCCCAGACCGACTCCGCTTGCGTTCACGTGATTTGTCGAGATGAGAGGCGGGCGCGGGCGCAATCATCAATCAAATTCAAAGGGAAGCCGGCGCATTCTGACTGCATCACTGTCTTTACTGGGTATGTTTAGGGAATATTTGCATTTATTCACATGCGATTTGATTAGCTAGTCATGGTGGACTGTCATGATTTTGGCTAATGAAGGACACTACTGAATGATGCGCATCAGAGGGGATTTAGAAGTGGGTATACGCAAAGCCGACTGATAAAGAAGTGGGTATACGCCGTATACCTGCGTATACCCTCCACTACACCACTGGGCATAGCCATCATTTCAGAAATGAGAGGTACAGCAATGTAAAAAAAAAAACTAAAAAAAACTTTTGGCTTGTCTATTTGACATGCTTTATTTTTTTTCTTATGTCTTTTAATTGGATAAGAAATCAAATACACCGCTGGATGATAACCAATAACTTGGCTTATACAAACACATAATAAGGCAGAATAGTTTCTATACTGTATTAAATGTTATGTCAATTAGCACTGCATTATTCATATACTATATTTATTACCTCAAAATTACCTGAAATTACCTTTTTAGCTACAGCAATAGCGGGATGCCTTTGTCCATATTAGGGATTTCCTGCACGTCATAAGTTATTACTTCTACTGGGCCGTTTTGGACTTTCTGCGTGAGAGTGCCCTCCAGCTTCGAGTATGAATGAAACATGCACTGCATGAGAGTGTTTAGCTCTCCGTAATGTTCATATCGTCTCATTTTTTTATATGAATAAATCGTCTGGTCATACATAGACTATCTGGTTTCTTTGCCCATGTGCTCACACATCCAAAGCACGCACACAGAAAAAGCTATTTTAAATGCATCTGATTGACAGATAAATCATGGTTGATCTATCAGCCAGATGCACGTAAAATGCATGCGCTCTTATTTCAGTGTTGTTGTTAATGTTGAGGTTATTTTAGCTGCACTGTTAAAGAGGGTGATTTTTACCATTCAACTGAACTATGTGCATGTATTTTAGACACTTGCATTGTTCTTGCTCCATCCATGCAATAACTGCGTCCTACTATCAACCGAGTTTCTATTTACTTATACTGCTGTGTAATACCGACGGTATGACCCATTTCAGGAGCTGACAAAATTATGATTTAAAATCAGAGCATAGCTCACATTCACTAAAATACTGAAACGCTAATGATGCTGATTCAAAACGACAACGCCGGTGATTGACAGTCAAAGCAAAGCGCAATTTTTTATTCTACTCAAGTAAAAGTAAAAGTACCACAATTTAATTATACTCAAGAAAGTAGATAAAAAAAAAAAATGTACTCAAGTACTGTAACGAAAGTTTATGTAATTAGTTACTTTCCACCTCTGCTCGTGTGCCACTAGCCTTGATCAGAGACTCTGTGTGTGTCATGTGATTTATTACCATATGACAACAAGAGATATTAAAGATATGTTAATGGTATTTCTGGGATAGTTCACCCAAAAATTAAAATTTGTATTTGTTTACCCCCAAACAAATATGTTATGTATTTATTTATTATTTTTTGTTTGTTTGTGGAACACTTAAGCATAATTTTTTAATTATTGTCATGACTTTATAGTGCATTATGACCTAAGATTCTTTGAAACAACATAAGGGATGCTTAAAAATTAATATACACAATTCTATAATATTAAAATATAGCTTTGTTTATTTTTCAGGTTCATTTCAGCCTTCCAATGACATGATGCTGAAATTTTATAGCTACTACAAGCAAGCAACACAAGGCCCCTGTAAGATTCCCCGTCCAGGATTCTGGGACCCCGTTGGCAAAGCCAAATGGTATTGAATCTGCTAAATGTCCAGATTTGTGAATTCATGAAGAAAGTTTTAGTTATGAGTGTTATTAGTTCTTTAAAATGGAAGTGTATTTTTTCACTGTTAGAATAGTCTCTCATATCCCAGTTTAATAAAAGTAGCTGACTTTCTAAAGAGTGCAAACAATGTTAGCATTTCCAAAACATTGCTCTGTCAAGTTAGATTATGGCTCAACCAATGGACCTATTTCACATTTCCGGGTTTCTCAGCAGCAGAAGTCGTCATAGTTGGGTAAACTTCTATAACAGTGAATGGGAGACTACCACAAATATATTTTTTGCATTCCCATTTGCTCAAATAGCAAAATAAAAACTCCATGATAGTGTTTTCATGACTTCCAAAAAAAAAAGACTGATAATGCCAGTCAGTAGAGAGAACGATGTCAAATTTATCGTCACTCCCATAGACGCTGTATTAGAAACACCCTTACATTTGCAAGTATAGTGTTACAAATGTTCATACATTTAAAAAAAAATGAAGATGCAAAAAACTTTGGGGGATTTACGATGCCGATGACCGTTGAAACACGTCATCAGTCTTGTGAAAAGGGTCCATGGTGTGAGTTTGGGGATGGAATACTTGTTCAACCAATGGCATACAAGGGTAGTGTTTTAAAATCAGTTTGAAAACAGTCAATATTTTTGCAGTTCCATTTGTTGCCACTAGTGATGCAAAAATGACACACTTCCCCTTTAAATGAGTTTACACCCTTTAGACCAGTGTCCATAACAGATTGAAAGTGAACTGTTGGTCTGTTGAAAGTTCATTGAGATAACAGATCAGTATCAGTAACACATCAGATTTGTATTATTAGTAACTAGTGCCACTGAAAGTTCCACATTTGTACTTCTGCAAAAACAATCTATTTTAAAGTCTTTGTTGAAAGTTTTTAACGTAACCGAGAGTCAGATGGTTCAAAAAATGTTTTCTACACAGACCATTTTAATATGCTTCATACTATTTTTGTTCTTCTGTCTTTTATACATGCATCTGAGAGTTGTTTTGAAAGGTGCAAACCGCTGCTAGAGTTTCAGTTGACCGTGAGATGACAACATCAGTGTTGACAAGCTTATCAGAGCAAAGTTCTCGTTGAACTGCCCTGCTTGCATTTTAGGGATGCGTGGAATTCTCTTGGGGAAATGCCGAAGGAGGAGGCGATGGCGGCCTATGTGGAAGATTTGAAACTGGTATAATGTTTCAGATTTTTGTTGCAGTGTTTGAAAATATGATTTAATGTAATGGTTTGTTAAACTTTGTTTTAAATTTGCCGAATAGATCCTGGAAAGTATGCCTGTAACAAATGAGGTCGAGGAGCTTCTGCGGGTCATTGGGCCGTTCTATGAGCTTGTTGATGAAAAGAAAAAGATAACGCAAGTGTCCGAGTTGAGCACAGGTAATCTGAATAACAGTACTCTCTCAGGTGAATCTCACAAAAATTGCATTTTGCCCAAAAATCTAAATATATTTTTAAGATAATATTTAATATTTAAATTGCTAAGTATAATAATAATACATTTAAAATTTATGCTGTTAAGCATTCAGTTATGTTGCATTAATAGTATTGAGAATTAAAGGAAAATGTGGTTAATTGTCATGAAATATCACTATATATATATATATACACACACATACATACATATTAATTAACTAACAAACTAAATAAATAAATTACTAAACTAACAAACTTAAAAACCTAAATTAATAATGTAATCTTTAATGAAAAATATTATTTTTTTTGCTTATGCTCATAATATTTAAAAAAAAATATTATGAGCTTTTTTGCTCTTGAATTTGGGGTTAAATATGACTGGACATTTCTTTGTAAGAAATATCCTTAAAATGTTGAGCTTTTAATAAATCTAAAGTAATGAAGGCGTAGCTATAGCATCAGTTCAAATTAAACCGAAATCAAGTCGTAAAAAATCAAATTAAATCAGTTCAATTGGTGTTAAAATGTCACTTGCATCTAGAAAGTCTAAAGTCTTTAATAAATACATTTTATTAATTACATTGACATAAGGACAAAAATGTAGTTAGGAAGTAATTCATATACTTGCATCACATTTGCTTATGAGTTTTTTTTATTTTTGATTTTTTTTATTCAGCAAGAACGCTTCAAGTTAGCATATTACAATGATTTCTGAAGGATCATGTAACATTGAAGACTGGAGTAATAGATGCTGAAAATCCAGCTAAATTACATTTTGATATACATTACAACAGTTATTTGAAATTGTAATTGTATTTCACAATATTAAAGTTTTGATTTTTATTGATAAAATAAATGTAGCCTTGCTAAGCATAACATAATCTTACTGACCCACTACCTTAACTGTAGTGTGCATGTCCTGTAAATAATATAACATTTTGTTAACCTTAATTAACTAATTACCCCTTTGTTTCGTGTTCAGCCCGCTTGGAAAGATTTGCTAGGCAACTTGAAGGCAAGTGAATAGCAGTGCGTTCTCCCAGTGGTCTGCACCCTTAGTTAATAGTGCCGTAGTCCAGGAGTTTCCCTTAACCACCTTCGTTGTTCAATCACTGCTGTTATTAGTGTAGATTTCCGGGTTCTCTATAGGGTTGTAGTGTTACCGGAACAGCTTAAGTTTTTGTGAAATAGTCCTGAAAGAACAGACCTTTTAGAAAGTGTGCATATTAAGTTTCAGAACGTATCCTCAGTGCATCATCTTACATGCGTATTGTTGTTGTCTCCAGGCTTTGGGAGCATGCTAATGTCACCACCCAAAAGTGTCACAAAAAGCATCATCAGGACGATGGAGATGAATGGCATCCTGGACAGTTACCCCGTCAAAACAGCAGAAACCCCAAAGACTAAATCAATAGACATGGAAGACGGAGAAGATGATAATGAGGAGGAAGAGGAGGAAAAAGACGAAGAAGAGGAGGTTAAAGGTAAATGTCACTATTACTGTTACTATTGCTGTGCAGTCTTTCCTCATGCAGATTTTGCAACTGGTTCAAGTTGATTATGCAAATTCGCCAAACTGATCAACAGAAAGCTGCTTGGTTTTAAAGTGACTTCTGTGTAAATTGCAATTGACAATATGAATGGACCATTTTCACCCAAAAACGTTTGGCAAAGATTGCATCTTTCAGAGTTGAATAGTCTTGAATAGCCATGCATTGAAGGAGGGTCATAAATCATATCTAGAAACTAATTCTAGATTCGAACCGGCTTTACTGATAAGATGCGCGTTAAATATCGCATGCGATTTATCGTGCAGCCCTAATTTTGGCTTTGCACAGTACACCTACAAACCACCTAGAACACACTAGCAACTACCTAGCAGTGCCTTAGCAACCATACAGTATCGTGAGCAGTTTTGCATTGGTAAGCACTACTAAAATTTCCTTTATAATATGTGTATTAATAATACATGCTTGGTGTTTTTAGCCTCACAACCGAAGAAAAGGGCTTCTGCAGGGAGACCTAAAGAACCAGTATCTAATGGCAGTATCGGCCAACATAAAGGCCTTACCAATGGAACGCACGAGTCTAGGTCTGATCTGAACAGGCAGGATTCAGAAGAAGACTCTGAAAACATTAAGCACAACAGAGACGTCATTGAGCTCAATGGACACATCAAAAGTGAGGAGAAGGACATTGGGGGTAATGATTTACCGACTAAGACTTGATTTATTATTTTAAAAGTAAGATCTAGGACATACTAGCAGTAGTTATGTGAACCGATCTGAATCACTCTATATATATGAAACAGAAGACGTGTCCAGTTCTCACCATGTGGCCAGTGATTCGGACAGCGAGGTGTACTGTGACTCCATCGACCAGTTTTGTGGAGAAGAAGTAAGTCGATTTCAGTTTACGCTTACATGATATCTGATCCAAAAATGACTTGATGCTGGGAAGGTAAGATACAGTGTTAAAGGGATCGTTCACCTAAAAAGAATAGTATGAAAAAAAAATACTATGGAAGTCAATGGAGACCAGAAACTGTTTGGTTACCCACATTCTTCAAAATATCTTCTTTTGTGTTCAGCAGAAGAAAGAAATTCATACAGGTTTAAAACAACTTGAGGATGAGTAAATTAATAATGGAATTTAAATTTTTGGGTGAACTATCCCTTTAAGGTAAATGGTACCACATCATTACTCTGCTAGCTCCTCTGCAATGGTTTCCCAAAATGCATGTGCTTTTGTTACTGGTATCCAGGGATCTGAGCTACACGTTAGCCACTCACTAGACATGGCCGAGGAAAGCCACAGCACACTATCCTCGACAGGAGAGATCAGATCACAAGAGGAACTGCTGGGACGGGAGGAAGGCGTACAGCACGGCGGAGAAGATGGATGGAACAGCAGAGGAGGTTCTCAGAGACAGGGACTTCCTGTGAATAGAAGTAACAGTTCTGTGGTCAGGAGGGAAAGAGGTACAAACAGCAGCAATCATATACAAGCTCTGTTTCAAAACATTGCTTGCTTGCTTCTATTTGCTACTATTGCTTCTGTTCTGCCCAAATCATATTTCGGTTTTTATGCATATGTAAAATTTCCAAAGGGTGCCGCGACTAAAAAAAGGTTGGGAAACACTGTGCTAGGATATGCATACGTGCGAGTACTGTATGCATGCAGCCTGATTTTCTTACTCTGTATGCACAGCTCACGCACCTTAATTTTTTGGCGCTAATTTGTTTGTCCGCAAAGTGGCAACACTTACCCAGCCTGTGGTTTTATAGCCAAAAAAGAAACTGATGAGATGGCACAACTACGAACCACTGGAGACTAGGGGTGTGTGATACTGAAATTAAATGAGAAATCGTCAGTAGAACTGCCAGTAGGTGGCGGCAAGGCAATGTCTTAATGAGTAAGCCAATGACTCATGGCTGATTCATTCAGGAATGGAGGAAGTGACTGTCTCAATGAATGGGTCATTGAATCATTCACTCACCTGATTTGTTTAGAAATTGCAGGTTCATTCAGTAACGAAACAGTGTGTTGCTCGCAGATGCACAACAGTTCTGCTGTGGCTTTGTTTTGTTTTGGCAACATAGTACAAATATAGACAATATTTACAATATTATGCCTAAAATGTTAATTAGAATTTAAGGGTGCTTTCACACCTGTAGATCGATTGCTTTGTTCCGAAACAGGGATTAAAATTATTACAATGTTGCTTTTTATCCTTGGTGCGGTTCGCTTTCATACGGCAATGTTTCTAAACGGACCAAATTTGTTAATACAACAAATTTGTTAATGCAAGTAAACTGTTCTCTCATTGGTCAAAGTTTCACAGTTTATTTTCCGGGATTCCACTTAGCTGTCAAAGCTGTCATCTGACAGGATGGAACGACAACAGTTTCGCGGGCTTATTGTTGTTTTTTTGGTTTTTTTGTAGATGCCGTTATATTAATTTATCACTTTGAGCAGGAGTCCAGGATTCATCTGGAAAATATTTTTAAAATGCACATACTAGGAAGAAGAGCAATAAGACGGCATTATAAAATGAAAAAGTGCGCTTTTTTATTTTGAATGGCGAAGACGTGCTCACCACAGACATTCACAGGTTCATTTTGA